TTAAAATTTAGGAACTTCAACTGCAATTGACAAGGTTAAAGGTAAAGCAGAAAGGGTTCGAGATGTACCCTAGTCATCATTCCCCAAACACTCGCCAAAAGCTAATGTGTGCTGGGCTCAGTGACAGCCCTGGGGACTCAAAGACAAACTACACATGGTCCCCACCCTCAACGCACTTTCAGTTTACTGGAGAAGATGATGATGATGATGATGATGATGGTGATGACTACAAGGCTGACATTTATTGAGTGCTTGCCATGTTGAAGATACACTATGTACTTCACGTGCATTATCTCATCCTTATAAAGGGCAAATAAAATAAATAATAGCGGCCATTTGTTAAGTACACTGGTCTTCGCACTTTACATTCATTATTCTTTAATCTTGCAAACACCAAGAGAGGCAGGTTTTATCCAAGACTGAGGTTGTAGTGGTCTGCAACCACAGAGCTCAGTTCAAATTCTGACTCTGCCAATTTATTAGTTGTATGGCTTGAAGGAAATTACTTATCCTCAAGAAGCCTTAGTTTCCTTGTCCATAAAATGGGGATTATAGCAATTTCTATTAGTCTCTGCTGCCTTTTGGAGCCCTGATTGCACTGTGGTTAAGAGCTCAGCTGCTAACCAAAAGGTCAGCAGTTCGAATTCACCAGCCGCTCCTTGGAAACTCTATGGGGCAGTTCTACTCTGTCCTGTAGAGTCGCTATGAGTCAGAATCGACTTGATGGCAACAGGATGCTGCCTTTTACTGTGCGTATTTATGTACATGCTATTCTATGCCTCTGTCTTTTAAAGCCTTTTCTTCGTGTAGTATGTACCTTTTCCACTTTGTATAAGGCACTAAAATTGACTTTATTTTTCCTGTCCCTTGACATTATTTTTTTAATGCATCAAGGTATACTGTTGTCACAGGCTTGCTGGCCACACTAGCATTGGAGATAAGGAGATCATTTTCTTCATGGCTGTCCCTCACTCCTTCCCCAGGTCGGGTCTCCAAGGGCCCAGGCTGGCCCTGGCTCCAGGTCTACCCACACAATGGGCTTCTCTAAGCAGCAGACAGAGGCGTGATGCCTGACAGCTTGGGCCCAGACTCTGGCCACAGACACATCCCTATGGCTGCGAACAGGCTCAGGACATTTGTGTAAACTCCCGATGTAGTAGAAGACAGCTCCAGGTGGCAGGCTGGGGTTGCTGAGGCCCAGGTGAGTCTTTGACTTAGGCCAGAGAAGTGGGGCTCTGGCTGGCACCCAGAGTTTGCTGATGACACATGTTCTTCAGAACTTTCCCAGGGGGCTCTGTACCCACTGAGCCCCAGGCCCTGGGAAAGATGCCCAGCTGCCCTGCCAAGTCCACATCCAAAGGACAAGCCACCCTTCCATGGCCCCTGGGAGGTGGCCTCAGGAGTGGGATGGGCAAGGGGAGATTCTGAACAATGTGGCCAGTGATTTGGTCCCGGGAGGTGGCGGCGGGGGGGTTGGGGGGGTGGAACCCTGGCCCAGAGACTCTATCAGGAGCCCTGGCTCCAGGTTGGGGCAGCTGCCAGGCGCTGACCTTTTGCACAAATTCCCCAAAGTCTCAAAGACCAGCCACAAATCAACATCCCTCCTCCACCGCCCATCCTCCAGGCTCTTCAGATCTCCCCTGAAATTCAGAGATTCTTAACTCCAGTTCCCTACCCCCATCTCCTTTATTGCCCTGGGTGGAAACACCTCCTTTCACAAGTCTGCAGGCTCAGGAGAGCAGCTCAAAAGACACTTCCAACTAAGAAAAGTCCAGGAAAACCCAGCAAGAAGGCTACAACCTCCAGGCCCTACTCTTATCCATGCCAACTGAGGTCAGACCACCAATCATCGCGCTATTGTTCAGGCCACCCGCCCCCTTGCTGCCACTGCTCCATTCACTTTTGATTTCCTCCAAACCAGGCTGATGCTGCTAAAGCTCAAATCTGACCAGGCTCCACCCCTGCTGAAAATCCTTTAATGGCTCCCTTTTTCTCTCCAGAGAAAGTCCAAACTCCTTTAGCCTGGCATTCAAAGCCCTGCAGGATTTGTCAGTCTGAATAGCCTCCTCTTTCCCCAGTCCTTTCCTCATGCCCTAGGCTCATATCATGCTGAATTCCTTCCCAGGCAATTCCTCTGGTAAGTCAGGTCATTTCACCCCTCTGCCTAGAATGCCCTTCCTCCACCCCATACCCACATCTGCTTATTGTTCATGAATAAGTGCCAGCATCGCGTCCTCCAGAAAGTCTTTCCCGACCACCCAGATAGAAGTGACCACTGCCTCCTCTGATCCATGGACAGACTCTTATGTCAGCAACTGTGACACTGGTGATCTGTTGGGTTTGTTCACCTATCTCCACCAATAGGTTGAGAGTCCCCTTGAAACCATCGAGTACAGCAGAATAAAGGGAGGGGGAGATAAGAAGTAGAGAATCTGAATACCCTATTAAAGACATTGAAATTGCAGTTTAAAGTCTTCCTACAAAGGTGGCTTCCCTGGAGAATGCTACCAAACATTTAAGGATGAAATAATACCAATTGTATATAAATGACAAGGGAAAGCAGGAGAGTTACTAACACTGACTGAGTGCCAACTAGGTGCCAAATCCTATGCTAGGTAAGAGATGGGCCAGGTCAATCTGAAGTCCTGGGGCAGGGTTTACCAAGGAAAGATCTTGCCCTGTGAAAAGCTTCAAAGAACATAAGAGCTGGAGACCCTCAGTTCTGGGATGATACACATGTTACTTCTCTTCCCTGCTGCATCTGGGGTACATTACCAATCAATTCCAGCTCCTTTCTGCAGAGCCCAGACAACTCCTCCCAATCCTTCTAAATATGGAATTCCCAGTAGAAAGCAGTGGAGCTGACGCTCAAAATGAAAGCTATTGGCCATCTCTGATCTAGCCTTACTCTAACTGAAGGGAAACTGAGAAGGCAAGGGTCTTACCCAAAGCCAAAGAGAGATTCATCACAGAACAGACAGGCTTTTAGGAACTGATATCTTTTTTTTTTTTTTAAGTTTGTATGGAAGAGACAGTATTTATATGTTGTCTCCCCCACCAGATAGTGAGCTCCTTCAGGAGAGGGCCTGAGTCTGGTTTAGCTTCTGATCCCAATGCTCTCCACACCAGGCATGTAGTAAGTGTCTGTAAATGTTTCTTGCTTAGTGACGGAGGGAGGGAGTGTACGCGTTAAAGGGAAGCCTTGAATATTAGTTCCTAAAGCCAAGAGATGTGTCAAGGGTCTGATACTCAGAGATGTTACCTTCATAGGATGATGTGCCCTTCGAGAACCCATATAAAACATTCTCAACATGAAGATGGGGGAAGGGGTTTGAGGGGGACCTCAATGTGGATTAGAAATGTGTCTACAGTAGAAATTTTACCATTTATAAACTAAACTTTCAAACAGCAAAAACTAAAAAAGCTTTTCAAATCAATTAAAATATGAAATTTCAATGAATTTCAACCATTTCAAATTGCATTACTAGCTATAAATATCAAAGTAATCAGGCATCTGGGAGGAAAAAAAGCCTCTTATGTGCATATCAGGAGCTCTGGTGGCACAGTGGTTAAGTGCTCAGCTGCTAACCAAAAGGTCAGTGGTTTCAACCCACTAGCTGCTCCATGGGAGAAAGATGTGGCAGTCAGCTTCTGAAAAGATCATAGCCTTGGAAACCCGAAGGGGCAGTTCTACTCTGTCCTATAGGGCTGCTATGAGTCAGAATTGACTCGACGGCAACGGGTTTGGTTTCTCCTTTATACACGTCATTTATGTATGATCTTGTTATTAAACTTTGCTTTTAAAATATGATTGATATACTTAAATTTTTAGGAACCAACACTCTAGAGTCAGCCTTATTTTAAGTATAAACAAAAAATGCATTTCTAAAATTTAAATAGATGTACCTAGAGTACAAACATAAAATAAAACAAAACTGAGAGGAAACTGAGGTCTGGGGCATGAGTGCAGGTCCAGCTGCAGAGTGGGAGGAGAGAAGGGTCAGGGACCCCATCCAGCCTGGCCTCTAGGGTCACCCAGGGACCTGGAGCCTGTTTGCTTCTGTGGCCTCCTGGAGAGCCCTTTTGGGGAAACCAAGGCAACCTACCAGGATCTGTGCCTGGGACTCAGCTCAGCGGCTTTGCTGGCCACAGCATTCTCTATCAGCCCCGGCCACCTCCCTGTGCCTGTTCTGGGCCATGAGCCAAAGACACATTCCTCAGGCCCCCATGGGCTTCTGAAGCTGACAGGGTGAAGCGAAGAAAGGGCTAAGCAAAGGAGAAATCTCCTAAGACAGATAGCAAAAGGAGGATATGGGACAATCACAGCAGGAGGCCTAAAACAACCAATGGGGAAACTGAGGCCCAGAGAAGCCAAGTGTCTCACCCTGAGACAAGAGTCACATACTAAGGAGATAGTAAAGAAACTCATCAACCAAGGTTTCCCCCAAAACTCCTCTCTGATCCTCAATGGAAAGATTTGATGCCCTACTTCATAAGGCCAAGTCCTCTCCCAAAGGAGATTAGGTCTCTGGGTTTTGGGGGCCATGGGTGCTAGAAAAACCTGGAGTTGAGGCCCTCAAGGCCCCTCAGGAAAGAATCTTGGCTACCCCCTCCCTGGTCCTTGCCCCTCTCCTTCCCTGAGTCACTCACTGGGTGACAGATCCCGCGATATATCTTTTGTCCTATTCGTAACAGCCCAGCAAGACAGGAGTTATGTCCCCATTCTACACAGAAGGAAACTAAGGCTCAAGGAAATCAAGTGGCTTGTCCAAAGCCATAGAGCTAGTGAGAGGGAGAGAGAAAATGCAAAACCAGGTCTGTGTGGCTCTTGTGCTGGCTCTCCCGCCACTATCCTATGCTGTCTCCAGGCTGGTCCTCAAGTTGTGTTTCTGCTTTCAACCCTGCCTACCTCTCAGCACCCCCTGAGGCCTGGGGGAGGTAGGGAAGAAGTTAAACACCACCCACCCACCTCTTCAGGCCCTGGGGACTCCAATGCTTACCCTCCAGCACCACCTCCTTGCCTGTCTTCTTCAGGGCCTGAACCGCCTCATCGTGGGTGGCAGAGGACAGGTCTTCTCCATTTACAGACAGGATGGCATCCCCCACAAAGAGGGCCTCTGTTTGGTCAGCTGCCAGTCCCTTGAAGATCTTGGAAATGAGAATGGGCATCTTGTTCTCCCGGCCCCCTGCATAGGCACAGAAGAAGGAAGAAGCTGAGGCATACTCTCCAATGCTTGGGAGTCACATCAAGGCAAAAGTACTGACTGAAGGCCCCCCTCGGTGTCCAGCCCAAGGTTTGAAAAGGGGCGATAAGAGAGTAAAGAGAATCTCAAGAGTCTTAGAAGTTTGAGACGCTACTAATACTACATAGTAAGTTGTGTTCTAAATTCATAATGTCCACAGTTTGGTCGGGTCCCTGGTGGTGCAGAGGTTAACAGTTACGGCTGCTAACCAAAAGATCGACCGTTCAAATCCACCAGCCACTCCTTGGAAACCCTATGGAACAGTTCTACTCTGTCCTGTAGGGTCGCTATGAGTCAGGATCAACTCGATGGCAACAGGTTTGTTTTATGGCTTATAGTTTGGTCACTGGATCATTTGGTTAAAATCTTTGGGTGTTCACCATTGTTTAAGTAACTTATAAGGTACCTCAATAGCTTTTTCTTAAATATGTTGGATTTTAAGCCATTTTCCCACAATGAGGTTACCCATTGATACCACCCAAATCTATAATTAAGATAGAAGTCAGCTATTCCCATAGCCCCAAAAGACCTCTTTAGCTATCAGAAAGCGTTTTGATCCAGGACCCTGGTTGAAAACCAATGCCTCAGTATGGAGACATTTCAAAAGCCTATCTGAATTGCATCTCTGATGCAAAAGAAGCCAATACATTTTACTGAATTGCTTTACTGCTAAATTTTTAAATGCTCTTTTAAAATAAGAAGTAATAGTAACAGCTCACATTGGTTCAGAGTACCATGTGCCAGGCACTGTTCTAAAAAGCTTTAAATGTCATCTTATCACATCCTCACAACAGCCCTATCACACAATTTTCCTAATAATTGAGGTGTGGAGAGTAGCGCTTTGCTTAAGTTCACCCAGCTAGTAAGTGACAGAGTCAGGATTTGAACTCAGGTCTCCTGGCTCTAGAATCAACATTCTTAACCCTACAGTAGACTATATGCTGGGTCCTCAGATATCACACTCCTGGTCCACCCTCAGAGTTTTGAAGATGAGGAACTAGTGGCCCAAAGCAAAAAAGAACCAAACCTGTTGCAGTCAAGTCAATTTTGACTCACAGTGAACCTACAGGACAGAGTAGAACTGCCCCATAGGGTTTCCAAGGAGCGGCTGGTGGATTCGAACTGCTGACCTTTTGGTTAGCTGTTGAGCTCTTAACCACTGTGCCATCGGGGCTCTGGCCCAAAGAAAGGAGGTCCTTATTCCAATCACACAGGAAGTCGGTGGCGGAGCTGGGATTGAACACTTCTGCAACCTCCATACAAGCCTAAATTTACTCATGGAACTGCACAGAGATTGAGACCTAGGAGAGGAAGGGGTTTCTAATTATCTTTGCCCTCTCCCACCTGAAACTAGGGATTTTAGTCCAGTTTGAAGCTATGATCATTCCTGGATGCCGGTAGCTGGACTGGACCCTAGAAGGATGATCAGCATGTCAATAGGAGCCCAATCTCTATCCATAGGAATTGGATAGAGCTGGTACTTACCCAGAGCCTCCTAAAAGTACCCTCACACCCACCTGGAAGCATGGAAATAGCGAGTGATTGTGTGTAACCTTGGAAAGTTCCCGTTCCTCTCTGAATCTTGGTTTGTCCATCTGAGAAATGGAACTCTGTAGCAACTCTAAGTTCCTTCCTGCTCTGACACACTGATGTACAATTTCTGGATTGGCCCAGTTGCCCTATGCCATGCTGGGGTTTGGCGGCAAGACTAGTGTCTGCCCCCTGGCTTCCCCACTCCCTTCTTTTAGATATCCTTGGTGGGCTGCCTGAGGATTTGCCCTTCCACAGGGAAGAACCAACACCCCTAGGCACTCTCTAAGGGGAGCAGTAACCTGATAATTGAGGTTCAAATCTCAGCCACTCACTGTCTGTGTGACCCTGGGTAAATCGCTTCACCTTTCTGAGTCTGTTTCTTCACCTGCAAAATGGGGGTTATACTCCTTTCCTTTCATCACTATTGCCAGGAGGTAGTGGATCCTGAGCCTAGAGTACTGGGCACAGCACCTGGCACACAGTGGTGACATTCACCTCCATCCTCATACCCACACCCAGGCCAAAGGGTCTGGAGGCACCAGTGAACAGAGGGGACAGTACACATTTGGGTGATAAGGGGGCTGGGACCCTAAGAAGCAGACAGGCAGGAATGGTGAACAGAGCAGCTGGAGGTGTGCAGGGATTATTTTAAGCACTATGGTTAGTTGCTTTGGGAGTCTCTCCTGGCCTCCATTTTTCCCCTCATCTAACAGCAATAACTAACCAAGGGCTTACTATGTGCTGGCATGGTGAATACTTTAGATGCCTGGTCTCAAAGAAACATCACAACTCTATCATTATCCTCATCATATAGTTGAGAAAACTGAGGTCCAGAGATGGCAAGTGACTTGTCCAAGTTCACACTGCTAATCCTGGACTCAAGCAGAAATTGGTTGAGCTCTACAGAAGGCTGTCAGTATTGGGGGGCTGAGAGCTCACAGAGGAGAATCAGCTCTGGGTCTGCCACTCTCAATCCTGTGCAAGGTGGGGAGGGTCAGATCAGGAAGCTCAAGCCCAGATGTCGGGGCTCCCTGCGTAGGTGCACAACCTTCCTGGGTCCTCAGATTTCTAGGTCCATTCTGGCTCCTTGTCTGTAATTCAAGTTTGTACTTCCACCCGTGTCTGCCCTCCATCCCTCTCCTTCCCAGACCCCGTGCCCTGCCCCTCCTTGGTGGTGTCTCAGGGACTTCCCCCTCCCCGCCCCAGTAGTTCCCAGGCCTCAACGCCTTTCTCCACCCTCTGCTCTCCAGGGACCCCTCTTGTCCTTGGTGCCCATGCTAGTTGCCTTCCTCGGGGCCCTTTGCCTCCACACAAAACTCCCCACCCACATGTCCTTGGTGCGCCCCTAGCCCTCTCCAACACCCGACACCTCCGGCCCTGGATGCCTCCCTGCACTGTCAGGGACTCTAAGTCTCCGACCTTGGTTCCCCGCACGCCATCGGTTCCCTCTGTCCCTTCAGGCCCCCATTCTCTCAGACAAAAGGCCTCCAACTCCATGTCCTCGGTGCGCCGCCAGGTCCTGCGACCCCTGCGCCTCTGGTGGCCACACAGACACCACGACCCTGTGCCCTCTGTGCCACCGCGCCCACCTTTGATGCTGATACCCAGCCCGCCGGCGTCGGCCTTGCGCACCGTCACGCGGCGCCGCTGGAGCAGCAGCGCCTCGGGCAGTTGCGGGGGCGCTGCGCCCGGCTCGG